CTGGCAGGGCCAAGAGTTATGTAGCAGAACCGCTAGCAGGGCCAAAAGTCATGTAGCAGAGCCCCTAGCAGGGCCAAAAGTTATGTAGCGGACCCGAACCTCTAGCAGGGCCAAAACTTACGCAGCAGAACCGAACCTCTAGCAGGGCCAAAAGTTACGCAGCAGAACCTCTAGTAGGGCCAAAAGTTATGTAGCAGAGCCGCTAGCAGGCCCGACGCCCCGCCGATGGATTCTCCTTCAAAAACTCGGAGGCATCCATCCTCGTCCTCTTCTTCGTATCCAATGGGCGGCCTTGGTTCAGGCGCCGGGTTCGCACGGACGTCTTTCTCTCAGAGCTTGGGTTCGTTCCGGCCCATTCTCCACTTCTGGGTCCCATAGACGTGTCGTCAGTAACCGACCGGCCCGAACTTCAAGGCGCTGAGCCCGCGACTCGGTGTGCACTTCCGTGCTCCAGACGGATTCTCCGTCTGATACATCACCGGCAGCCCAGTCCTGATGCGGTGCTCAGCGCGCTGCGCGATCACCGGCGGTTCTTAGATTCTAAGAGGCGGGCAGGTGGAACCACAGTGGCATCCTCGAAGGCCTGGGGCGCGCAATGCTCAGACCATCGTATCGGTGATGTGCTTGGAACCGTTCTCACGCCTCCTCTTCCTCCACGTCATTCCACTCATGCAAAAGCATCTCTGAAATGCGTTTCTGTCCCCTTCGCTCTTTCGCTTATGTGCTTCTTTCGTTTATCTTTCTACGCTTTTTCTTGTACTCTCTTGTTCCTTTAGTGTTCTTTCGGTTGGTGGTTACCTCGTGTCTTTTTCTCTTTGCTTTTACTGCCCACGCTTCTTTTCACTTCCTCGCTTTCCTCGTTGGGCGTATTTTTTGCAATACGTATTATGCTCGTCCGCTTCCTTTTTTTGGATTGTTCTTTCTTGTCTTCTCTTAGTGTGTTTTGCTTGCGCTAATCGTCTTGTCTTTTTTCTGATCCGCTTGCATGCTCATTAGCTTTGCTTTTCTTTCCCATTGCTCTTTGCTTTGCTTTGTTTGAAGATCTCCTTTGTGTTCCGTGTTTAGCGCCTGTCCTTTCTTCTTGTCTGGTTTCCTTTCTATCTTTCCTTCCTTTGTTTGGTTTCTTTCTGGTGCTTTTCTCTTTTCCAAGGTGCTTTCTAAACTTTTCTTTTCTTCCTCTTATGCTTTGCTGCTTCTCTTTGTTGTCTTTTGGTGCGCTTTCTTTTGTTTCCTTGCCTTTTGCTAACCTTTCTTGTGTGTAGCCGGCTTGTGTTGATCCCTTTGAGGCAGCTATCTTCACGGGATATGTAGTTCTTACTGGTCCCACGGGAGGTTCTTCAACACAAGACTGCTACACACTGCTACACGTGTAATCCCCTGCGCTCTTAACCGTCCTGTGACGTCCCCTCAATTTGCGGAGCCACTCTAAAACGGCTTCCTCCTATTTTCAATCCATCAAAAGGACAAGCCTATGTTACGGGATTAAAAATAGGAGGAAGCCACAGGCCGTTTGAGAGTGTAGGAATATAATGTGCAGCAGACTTGCGTCGAAGGAGGTCCCTGGGGATCGATCATTGAGAACCACATACCCCACAAAGATATAATCGTAAAGGGAACCAACACAAGCCGGCTACACACAAAAGAAGCGAGGCAAAGGTGAGAAAACGAACAAAACACCTAAGGAAAGAGTCCCGCTTTTGAAGTGCTTTGTCTCCAAAGGCACTTTGCTGGTTAAATATTTCAATCCCCTGCCTCCACATTTGATTATTAAGGCACTGAGCTGCTGCTGAAAAATCAGGGCCCAAAAACGCAATCAAGAGGTCCCATGGATCGCCCGTAGGGACCAAGCGACGTACAGGTGTTATGCACCACCGCAAGTTGCGTACACCAAAAACATCGCAACCGCTCTCAGGCCATCTATCCATTTGCTTTGATCAGTTTTTTTAGGCGGCGGCAACCATCCATGCAAAATATGTTTCAGTCCCTTGGAAGATCATTCGAAGCACTCAGCAAGGACATTTATATCCAACAAAAACTGTAGACACAATCATTTCCAAGCAGGGAAGGCACACAAAACAACACTGCCCTCATAGTTGGGGTCCGAAAGGTTACAGCCCAACTGCCGTCAAACCTTTTGAATCACGCCACCTGGAGATAATTGGAGATATCTATTCTTTTTTGAGAGAAATCCACGTTTTCTCTTTAGTTATTAGTTACCCCAACATATCATTTTGCACCCGGTTGAAGCCAATCCCTCCGTCCTTCACCCCGTTGGTCGCCGGGCCGCACGACGCGTTCCTCCGCGCTGCTGCGATTCGCGGCTGCCGCGGCACGAAGCAGCTGGCTCTCGGCCCTGCGCAGGGCCGAGGAGACCTCAGACCGGGGGCGAGCGGAGCACCGGGCGAGCTGAGCTTCGGTGTTTCGAGTGAACCTGAACTGTAACACCCTGAGCCTAGCTGAACTGTTTCCCTCCAGGCTGGTAGGTTTTGTAGAGATCTGGTGGGTACCCACTGGCAGTATGCTTTGACATCCACAATTCTGGGAAGTTGATGCAATATGAGCCCTCATCACCGTTTGACTTGTGGGTTATGTGAATACCCAATCAGCACAACGTGCCCACCCAAGGTTTGCAAAGGTTAGTGAACCGAGCTGCAAAAGAAATAAAGACACTAAAAACCATCCATTCCAAGGCTCCAAACCCTAAAATTTGGACAGCTTTGTTGTCAATATTCCATGCTTTTCTCGGTTCCATCGGATCACATTCCCTCATCCCCACACCTAACCCCCCCCCCCGCCCACCCACCTTATATACCTTCCTCAGTCCCAGGCGCATCGATCTGCGCCTTCCCTTCCAAGGCCTCTGGATCTCCGCAGCGGATGCGACGCACCGCCAGCGTGGACGCCAAGCCCAGCAGTGCGAGGCCCAGGAGGGGAAGGAGGACGACCCACTTCCTGAAGTGGCCGAGTATATGGGTTCCATCTGGAGGATGGGAGGATGACGGATTGAAGATAATTAAAGGTGGATCTTAATTAGGTCGTGAGCAGTGAACAGTGAGAGTCAGAATACGTGCATCATTTCCGGTGCTTTTTGAGAGTTTTTCCGGTGCCTTCTGGATTTCAGCACTCAGTCCATTCGACCCGTGCGCCACCCGACTCCGTGAGGCATTGGACCGCCAACGGTTCCTGGGGAGAACGCAAATGGCCGTGTCCTGATGGCAAAGCAAATCTTGGTTCAAACAGAAACTAAATAGTCACATCTCTGCATGATGATGCAACTGTTACAGATTTACCCAACGGCCACCCACGCTTGCACAGTGTAGGAACCTCTTCCAGCCCAGTGACTTCAGCGATTCAGTGGCCCTAAAACGTCTTCCTGCGGCCCAAGCGTCTTCCCCCGAAGACACCGGCTCGCGCCGCTGCCGAGGCCCTGAGCGTTCCGGGGCAGCTCCTCCTCGCTGGTGCCGCTGGCGCCGGCGCCGGCACCCGGCAGCACCTGGAAGCTCCGCATAAGGCCTCGGTCAGGCGGGGAGAGCGGGTAAGGTGGGACGGGACACAGGATGGGTGTAGACCCATGAGTTGCTAGAATTTATAGCAAACACATAGAGAGATGGTGAATCAAGGAACATGCACAATTTAGTTTGGGGTAGTACCAGGTTCAATTTATCTAAAGGTTTGAAACCTACGAGGATGCCTCAAAACTGGAGGCCCCAAACCATAGTAGGTATAGGTGCTTTGAGCCAACCTCATCAAGGCTCCGCTAGCTTCACCCTTAGTGCCCAAGCCCAATGGCACGCAAAAGCCCGTGGAACAATTATGTTGAATTGGTATTCTTGGATTTAAATCATTTGCGTCAGTACAGTAATGATATTATGCGGAGGGAATAGAATTGTAACATATTGTAACCGTATTACTTCAGTGTCAGCCGAATTTTACATCCATTTCTATCAACATATTGATAACAATCATCGCGGCTGGTGCAGCATACATCTCGGACCTCCATCACCAGTCCTTGGAGTACCGACTTACCTCAACTCTCTCCAAGTGGCAAGGGCCTCTGCGGGATCTCTGCCGACTACTTGCGCGTGACTGTCACGCGCCTTTGGTGCAAAGCACTTGAGCAGCACGGCGAATGTGCAAGCTGATGCCAAGACCCCTGGGGTATCTGTAGGTTCCCCAAGGGAATTTCACACATCGAAGAGTGCAAAGGTCCAATCCATTAGCGCGTCTGTTCTACTATGGGTGTGTATATTTACTTTCATCCAGCATAGAGAGAGAGAGAGAAAAAGATAACCTCCTTTAAAGCGACATGTGGTTTTGATGGAACATGGCTCGTCTGATAAGACACAGGTTTGTCTAGATTCCTCTTCAAATGGGGTTGTGCTCCACCACCAGCTTTCTTGACCGTGGTCTTGACGGATGAAACCCAACAGGCGACACACTGTGAACATGGCTTGGTGAAGCGGCCCAAGGGCCTAACGATGGCCTAGCGCTTAGAGAGTTCCGCTATGCTCAAAAGACACCAAATATCCTTCCCAGGAGTCGCCTTGCTCAGTCTTTGGATTTATTGAGCAGCTACAACTTTTCCAACATCAACACATAACACAAAGCTCATCAAAGCTCCATGACCCTTCCATTCAACCAAGTCTTTCTTAAACATAGGCTCAGTGCACCATCATGTTTAAAACTTAAATCATGTGCTGCGAAACCATGCCATTTCGCTGATCAAGTCTGGCAAAACCACTTTCCCCATGCACTCCCCAAGTTTGGCTAAATTTGAGATTTCCGGTCAGTCCCGAAAACCAACTGTGGCATGGTCGAAATGCTTTGCACATTGTCCAAAGAACGTTTTAAAAGCTAACAATGGTCTAATGCATTGCACATTGTCCAATTGCACATTGCACACTTGTCTAAACAGTTCAGTGGGCTCCCGCATGTTCTGTGGATAATTTCCACAGCAAAGACTGTTCAATCGAAATCCAGCACCCCGCGCCGAGGCAGACCTTCATGGGCTCCATCTGAAAGAGGATGTGCTTGGAGGCCAAGTCCCAAACCTGTCGAGATCACATGACGGCCTGGTTGGTGGGCCACTGCGGGGAACCGGACTTTCTTTCTGAAAATTACATGTGAAAGGAAGCGGAGCCAAACCCCAAATGCACTTAAAACTCAGTGACTCGGCTTTCGTGCACTTTGAAACCTAAGTCGTTCATATTTGAACTTTGATCAAATCCAATCTGGGAGAAGTGAGTCATGCCACTGCCCGCCGCGCGATGCCCAACACCAAACGGCTCCACAAAGGGATGATGGCTATCTTTTTTTTTGATCGGGGGCTCCCTGTTCAAGGTTCCGGCTGGCTTGCATTGGGCAACAACACAGTGGCTGAAATCGACAACACAGTTGTGAAGAGCGACCTGCACCCATTACGATTAATGATAGTTCCAATTTGCCGACCAACTAAAAAGGACACCTGTTTCCGCATTAATGTACTGGGACCCCTGGTCCTCCATTTAGTTGGGACACCCATCACTTGCCATATATAAGCTTTTGATTGTTTCTATATATGTAAAGGGTTGTCTTCACTGGCCCTTTGTGTTCCATTGAGTCAACAGCAGGCGATTCCGGCCGCAACTCCTCTCTTTTCACGCGCCCTGAAGCATGGTGGAGACAGCAATGACAAGTGCTGAACCGCCTGCAGCAAATGCTTGGAGCAGCCTAATTAGATCCCAGTTTTGAAGGAATTGTGCCCAATCCAAGGCTGTCAAACCTCTCTCGTCTACTGCGTTCTTGTTGGCACCAGCCTGGAGCAACTGTTCCACAACAGTTTCGTGTTCAAATCGAGCTGCCACATGCAAAGGTGTTGCGCCATTTGCATCCACT